TATGGACTATCACCATATATAATTTTCCTAATGGAAACTTGGTTGTCTGAACTAGTAGATGACAGCGAGGTAACCATGCCTGGCTACCAACTGTTCAGAAAAGATAGGGAGGGACGTGAAGGCGGTGGCATAGCGACATACGTGAAAAATGGACTCACCATTTTAGACAAAACGGATAAACTGGCGCGTACTTCCGAGGCGATCTGGCTATCCATTAAAGTACCAGGTGCATCCAACCTCGATGTCCTGACACTCTACCGACCACCGAGAAGAAGGCCCGTAGTGGATGCCTCCTTGCTAGAGGAGCTTGAAAAGATAACTGCATGGTCGGATATCCTGATTGTGAGGGACTTCAACGCGCCTCACATCGACTGGGGGCGCGGCCTGCTCATATAGCTAAGGTCTAGCCTTCGACAGTTGTCTTCTGAGCATGACCCTACAGTTATTTCTCACGTCACTTTTCTAACAAGGATGCGCGTTGGCCAACAGTCCAATTGTCTGGACCTCGTTCGCACGAAATCGCACGACAGCATCAACGAAGTGTCATGTTTACCTCCGCTAGGTAAAAGTGACCACGTTGTACTGCTATTGGCGTACTCGTTATTCTCAATAACCGAGAAACCCTCAACAGCCAGGAGAAATATTTGGCGAGGCGATTTCGATCAAATGATGGCCGAACTCACGCGCACCGAGTGGGAATCTCTATTTTTTGGAAAAATAACAACGGACTGGGAAACGTTCCGGGACACACTGCACAGGCTCATCGAAAAACAGTTTAATTTCGCGAAAAAGGTTGACCATCAGACCGCGATGGCTTACACAGGCCTTAAAAATAGAAGTGAACAAAAGCGAAAGCTGTGGAAAAAACATTTACGGACAGGACTCCTGCATCTAAGTGCGTGCAAACCTCAGAGAAATCGGGTCAAGGGTCTTATTCTTAAAACTAGTCGAGATTTCGAAGCAGACCTGCTAAACCCAGCCATAGTGATCTCCAAACTGTCTTACAGTTACCTCAGGCAGCGTACCAAAAACAGGGATCCGATACCCCTGCTGACGACCGCTGAGGGTAGAGATCTGATAGAAGATGAAGCAAAAGCTGATCATCTTTCGGAATTTTTCCGGTCAGTTTACACAAAGGAAACGGCATATGATTACCTTACCGATGGCACCGACGTGGATGCAATAGTTGAGACTGTCCAAATTACCCGAGGCTGTTGATCTTAAGGAACTCTTAGGGTTAAAGGAATCTAAGTCACCGGGTCCCGACGAGGTACTGGCCAAGAT